CAAAAAAGTACTCCAGAGTGTTGTTCAGCATGGGGGTGAGTAGAAAATGAAGGCTAATCATGTTTTGGGTGTACTATTCCTTTAAAGCACAGACACATGGTTTCCACTGTATCTCAACAAACATTGTTGAAGAAGTTTCATGTCTGAATTTGCTGTTCTTTGCAGCAACTTGTGTCAAAAAATGGCATTCAATTAATGCATAAATAGGTTGAATGTATGGCATTTCAATTATTAATTTACATTTATTTTAATGCATGTAGCTATGTTTAATATGCATGTAGTGTATGTTTGGTAGGTATCTCTATCTATGCCCTTTTTTTTTGTTTTGTGTGATTGCTCAATCCGATTGGCCACAGGGTGTCTGAGAAGAGCATTTTTTTTTTACCAAAAGGTTATCAGTTGGATTCAGGGACTAATCAGGTCCATTCACAACATATGGATATGCTATAATGAAAGCCAGTAGGATTTCAGGTGATGAGCTAATTAATTCTCTATGAGTTGTTCAAAGTCTGGGATGTTGTTATCTGATGTTGTTACCTCATCTGTCTGATGGGTTATGTTTGAACTTCATGATGCTTTTCTTTTCTCAATGCTATTTAACAAAAATCCAGAATCCTAACAAAACATCTAGATTTTTACAGAGAAAAATACACTTTCCTTTTAAAGTTTTAGTAAATCCTGCTTTTAATTTTGTTTTTAGATGCACAAAAAAAGGTTCCTTAATAAAAATTTACACCTTATATCTTTGCAAATAAAGTATATTAAAGAAAATGATATTTTAACAGTTTGCCTCCTGCTAAATGTGGCAGTGCACAAAGCGGTTTGAATACATTGGGTAGGTGCTATAAATTCATGGAATTTAGGAGGGAATTTTTGACCAAAATTGTCTTTAGCTCTGTACTGTTTAGATGTATGTCTGCTTGAAATAACAAGTTAAATAATACAATAATACAAATATATTTATATAATTGCATTGCACATCAGCTGTCCATTTGGTACCTATGAATATAATACAATTATATTTATACTTCAGATGCACAGTATTTATATTATATGTACAGTGCAGTATTATGTTTGCTATTTTTGTTAAGCTGTCACTTTTAAACTGTTATTTTTATGTACTTTTTAAGCTCCACATTTGTGTGACAACTTTAGCCATCATCTTTTGCTGCTGTTCTATTCTATTCTATTCTATTCTAAGTAATCATTTTGCTTGTTTTCTTGTACACAGGCAGCCTCATAAGAAGCCCAGCACAGTGTCCCAGGACTCCTGGGAAAGGTCGTATCCATCATCCGAGGATTTCCAGACGCCTAAGGAGAACCCTCGTCTCTCTATGGGCCCGGGCTCTCGTAACGGCTTCACTGGAAAACCCAATCTAAATGCTCGGGTCCTCCTAGAGACCCAGGAATTACTGAGGCAGGAACAGAGACGGAGGGAACAGGAGGCGAGGAAAACCAGACCATCTCCTGCGCAGGAACCCCCAAACAGCAACAGCAGCAGCAGCGCCTACAACCACAGCGCAGACCACAGCCAGGCCTCTGCCACAGGACATGTACCGACACCACAGAGATCTAAAGGCCCCTACAGGCAGGACGTTCCCCCATCACCTTCCCAGCTGGCCAAACTCTGCCACCGCCAGGGCTCAGAGAAGGGGAGGTTTTTATATTCCTGAGGCGGGGAAGAGTAAAATGATCCGGACTGATTGGAACAAGCAATGTACACAGCATAGACGCATCATGGGCAACAAGTCTGTTTTTTTTAATACCTTTATAAATAATATTTTTTATTGGTTGGTTGTTATACATTTTTGATATTTCAAAGAAAGATTTTTATAATATAAATTTGATCCTTTGTAGATGTAGCGAAAGCTAATGGGAGAGGTTTTACTGTTCAGCGTTGTTTTATATATTTGTGTAAAGTGCCTTTTTGGTCGCCTTTCTACTCATCACTACATCACAAGGTAAAAAAGCTGGTTCAGCTTTAAGCAGCAGACTGATTTAAAGATAGTTCAGGGTCCCCACTGATGTCTTTGTTGTTTTAATGTTTATTTGAAAATTTGTACTTTCATGAAAACGTCATTACTCATTGTGTTTGTGTGAGTAGAAGTGTTGGCAGGAACCAACATGTGGAGAAACGGAGCTGAGGTTAAGGAGCTTGTGTGAACTGTTCAGTCGGAGCAAGGATTTTAGTCCCACCACCCACCCCTCCTGTTACGCTACGCTTCAGGGAAATGCCCATTTTGGGTTTCAAAAAGCACTCTTCCTCTGTACTCCCCCCATCCCCACCCCTCACATTCACTATGATAATCCTAAATTCTCTCTTCCTTTTGGCTGGCTTCTTTATCTCGGCGTTTTCTCCTCACCCTGTCACCCTCATCCCTCTGCTCCCTCCGTGGAAGAAAACAGCTTTAGATCTTCTTATTCTTGCTCTGCTTCACTCACCCAGGGACAACCAGCAGAACAAAACAGGGTCAGCTCTGGGTTATTAATTAATGTGTCGAGTCAAAAATAAATGCGGTCCTCTGTGTGTGTTTGTTGTCATGCTCGGAGAGGGAGGTGAGACCGCCTCTGGCTCCACCTAGAAGGATTGGTTGTGACCAGAGCTCGCTCTAGGTGTCAGAGCTGTTCCTCCATGAATATTTCATCACTACGGCTCCTTAGGAGACCACATCAACTGTGCAGTTGGTACCTATCTGTAGGCCACTTACAATAGAGCTGATTTTGTTTTCCCTCTTGATTGGGAGCATTCATAAGAAACCCCTCAGGAGCCCTTTCTTTGTTCAGTCAATAATAAGTAGTGTGTTTGTTTTTCATTTCTGAGCTCCTTCTTATATTTCCATACTTAGCATATGGGGACACACAATCTGAGGCCACTTTTTGCAGAGTGTCAGATAAACGATTTATTTCAGGTTAAAATAAAGGATTAAAGATTTATTTCTATATTACTGACACTTCGACAATAGTGGTCTGAATGTTTTATCTAATGCACATTTTTTAGGAACAAACATAAGTGTTTGATTGTGTTCAGGGTTTTATTTGATACATAATAAGGAGGAGTGTACTTACATATAACTAATTTGTGGAGATTCACTGATGTGGTCGCTTCTGATCACAGATTTTTCTTAAGATAAGACCTGCCAAGACTGATTTATTACTTTTTAAAGACTATGAATGCGAATAAAACAAAACCATAAAACATACATATTTACATACATACATATTTTCTTAAAACATTAATTGTTTGTATGTTTTTTTTTTTTTAGATTCTGGCCAGAGGTAAAGGGGTTATCTGATTGAAGATACCTGTTATTACTTAAGTTTTGGGTATTCACTGATTTTAAAACAAATCATCAGTTTTCTCTGATCTCGACCTGTAAATCATAAATGTATTGATTTACTTCACCAGCTAATTTCTCTGTGGATCTATGTCATTTATGAATGAAATGTTACATCATGATTATAACAGATTTCTTCAGGAGACACAAGCATTAAAATTCAGATTTCAATGTCAATATTTTAGTCCTGTTTTATAGAGATTCAGGCAAATGCTTTGGATTTCTTTGGAAAGATGTTTATAAGGTCTTGACATCAACTCTGGTTTACTTCAGCAGAATAATTTTACCCAAGTTTGATTTGTCAAAGCTCCAGCTTTTTATTTTGAGTACATGCATTCAATGGTGTTAAGAAACAACTGTCTGTAGCTCTATAGAATTACTCTGGTCTACCTAAAATGTAACTTGCCCGAGAAAACACAGTTTATTTTCTATTTAAACTGTATAAACCTGGTCTTTAGGGTGCTACTATTATTGTTTCTCCTATTTTATTATTTCTAACAATTAGTCCATGAATCTTTATTTAATTGTATTGTTTTTGCAATGTTCTTACAAAACCATCATTGCCATAAGAGGTTATACAGCAACTAGTGCAGTTAAATTATCTACTGGTTAAAATGGTACATACTGGTATTGGTCAAGTCATTTATACAGGCTTTTATTATCATAGGCCCCTTTTTTAGGTATAAATATAACTTACTTAGAAAAACTGAGATTTTTTTTTACTGACTTGGCTTCCCTTAAGCTATGATGACAAGACGGGTAAAACAACTTTACCTAAAATGGTTCTATCCATCCCATAATTCATAGCCTGGGTGCCATTCCGAACTTAGTCCCGCCCACAACGTTTGAGGTTGGGAAGTTCGGTCTGGCATTGCTCAATAGTAGCGCGAGTATGCTCGCACAATATCTGGCGGGCCAATCAAATTGTCAAGGCGGGCTTTATACGATGATGGACAGATGATCAACAGTAACGTAATCAACCACGTCACCAAAGCGAGCTTGGGCGACAACAACAATGGCGAGAGTTGAGGTGTGTAGATTCGGCTATTAGGTCTGTTCTAGAAGATATCGACAGCAAATTAATTTTAAAAGAGGAACAGAGAAACGCGATCAAGGCTCATCTTCTTATTCTAGGCGTGCAACTGCACGCTTTGATTTTTGTTGACAACAACTATGCGTCGCTTAACATACGTCACGCACTCCGTTGCTCTTATTGGTTGTAGGTCTGTCCAATTGAGTGCAGAGGCATTTTTTTTCCTGGTTCGTTCGAAACACGCCCCATAATCACAGCTCTATGGAGCAGTATCAGACTCATATTCTGACTAGAATTGAGTAGGACTACGTCAGGCTACATAATTCATCCCATACTTCAATAATGCTAGGCTAGGCTCAGCTAACTGTCACTTCCTCTTCTTCTGACTAGACCTCTGCCAATCAAAGACCACTTATTCCTCACAATTAGCCCCAGACTCTCTTAGATCTCACCAACCAGCTCTATCTTTCTGGAGGTGTGGTTATTGTTTTATATCGGGGTGAGTTACACTTTCCTTATTTTTTAGCAGTGGGTTTCCTACACATTCGATGTTTGAAATTCCCTTAGTCTTTGTCTCATCTAATCAAAATTTTCTTGTTACCTGATGTTCTTACCCTAACATGTTATTCTTTGCTGCAGATGTTTAAAAGTGATCTTTGGAGTTTTTTTGTGTGTTTTTTTTAAGTTCAAAGTTTTTAATAGGTTTACCAACAAATCTGGAACTAAAAATCTACCAGGGTTTTATTGTCATTACAGTGTCACAAGTGCAGAGCAACGAAATTACCTCTCTGCATTCAATCCATCCCTTTGGGGAGCAGTGGGCTGCCATTGTGCAGCGCCCAGGGAGCAGTGTGGGATTAAGTCTTGCTCAGGGACCCCAAGTGATAGTCTGTGGGAGTTGGGCCTGAACTCTAAACCTCTGGATTCTAAGCACAAACCTCTAGGCCCCCACTCCCCACAACGGTCCATTATAAGATGACAATATGGCAATAAGAAATATTTTAATTTTAAGATTGCTAAGCAACACTTTGAAGTTCCAATCAGCGTACGTCTGTAAGCGCCTCCATATCCCTGGTTATTTTTCATTCTATAAGCTCCAGTAGTGTGCAAGGTCTTAGACGCATAGTAAGATTATACAAATGCAAAACCTTACTAGAATATGAACATAATCAATTGGTAAACAAAAGACAACGACATAAAGCACATAAAGCTAAAGTTAGACAAGTCCTGAATAAAAACAAATTTAGACTTATCTAGATCTTGATTACAGACCAAGTTAACAGTTTCCTTTGAGAGTAAGTTCAGCAAATCAGATGTTTCAAATTTAAGGTTATCAGCTGCAGACATCAGCCTACTAGAGAAAACTGGTTGCTGTCAAAGTGAAGCTAGATTCCTTCACTTGTTTTTAACATTTAGCACATGAAACACACTGATGTGTGCTTACAAAAGGAACACCAATGTTTGGTTTCTGTATCTAGCCCAAATCTTTATGTCCATATGAATTACACTGCAAAAACTATTTTATATCCAGGGTTATTTTTATGGTTGTACATCGCAATAAGATTATAATATAACTAGGTTGATGATCCCCAAGTAAATGAAAAAAAAAAATCTATAAACTCCAAATTGTTTCTTGGTTCCTTATTTAAAAAAAACTGAGGAGATAAAGTATCCCAACAGAATGATGCAGCCAACACCATGCTTCAGAATGGGGTTGATGGCCTTAGGGTAATTTATTTACACTTATTTTTCTTGTTCTACATTCTGTTTTGCTCTCACTTGATCAGAATACAGTCATCCAAATATGAGGTTAGCAACTAATAGTTGCAGCTGCAGGCCCACCAGACTTATGATGGAGAGCAGCGATTTCTTGCTCATTTTAAATACTGAAGCCTTTTTTTCTGTTTGACCCTGCTATATAAGATACTACCTAGAAATCCTGCTGTTTGAGGTTGATGGTCCTCACAACTGAGTAAAAAGTAATCTTGACAAACATGAAATATCATATAACAAAAAATGTTTTTTTTTTTGTCTACCCAGTTTATCCAGCATGCTTTTGCGTAGGTGGGCATGTGTTTATGTTTTTCTAAATCCTGCCATTCACTGGATTTCTCAGTAATGTCTCAGAGTGTGTCTGAGCAGCCATACGAACGGCTCGGTTGCTGAGTGCGAGAGGAGCAGAGGAGTGGGTGGGAGAGAAGATGGGAGGCCTGACCCTTTGCAGATGATTCAGTCAATGGTGTAATCACAAGCGTTCCTCTGAGTCTTCTGCACAAACAGGAGGTTAGCAGCAAGGCGCTTTTTCAGCCTCTTTCATCTGTGCGTCTGTTTAGTGTCTTTCTGAGTTCAGAGTTGCTGCTTTGCTCAGCTGAAAGTTCTCCTGGCTGTGTGTATGTGTGTGTATTTGTTAAATTGGCCCGGCTCCTACTCAGCAGCTTTATTAACTGATGTTCTGTACGTTTTATCATAAACTGGAGGGGTGCCTGCAATAATGATTTTTTTTAATCATATGCAAATTTGATAATGTTTCATAATGCACATTTATTATTTGTGTTGTGTAATTAATGTTTGAATGCCGTCGTCATGACATATGGACTTTTCCCATAAAACTATTGTTTCGGGGGATAAAAAAAAAAAGGCAAAATGAGAAATATATTATTGTTTTATTGTGTTTTTATGACCTTCCTTCTTTGTATTTTATTATCCACAGTATGGTACTATGCTGGTGAAAAATGACTAATGTAAGCACTGTGCAATTTTCCCTTTACAATGATCTATTAAGAAATGTCTCTGCTGTTCCCTGTACATATAGTCTACACTTGTCAGTGAATAAATTGAGGGTAGTCTCAGTCTTTGTAACAATAACTTCTCTTGATTGTGTTGCTTTAACATTCACAAATGGTTTCTCTCCCACAGAAAGATGCATAATTAAAGGCAAACAATGAATATGTTATTCCTTGCAGCTGTTGTACCGCTGCTCTACTGATTCAACATTTTAGAGGCTTATTTTCTCATTATAAGTATAACATTAGCCATTGTTTTTTTAGGAAGTAAAAGTGTTTTATATTAGAGAATAAAATCTGTCTTTTAGCGGTAGGTTTAGAATATCATACAGCGCTTTGCCTGATGGAAGAAAAAACAAAAAAACACCAAACATGCAACTAGAAAGTTAAAATCAAATCACCTAATCTCAGATTTCCAAAAGACTGCTTTTCCTACTGAGCAACATTTAACCAATATCTAACTCCATAAACATTATAATAAATGTTCCAGACAGCAATCATGAGGTAGTTTAAGTTGGTTATACTTTAACAAAATAGGAGGCATTTCAGTTTAGCTTATTTCTATAGTGCAAATTCACAACACGTCATCTCAAGGCATTTTACAGTTCACCAGATGATACACTCAAACTGATTCAAAGTTTTCTATCTAAGGAAAACCAGTTGATTGCATTGACTCATTGACTCAAATGCAATCCCTCACACTAATCATGCTTGTAACGACAGTGGAGAGGAAAAACTCCCTTTTAACAGGAAGAAACCTCCAGCAGAACCAGGCTCAGTGTGAGCGGCCATCTGCCGAGGCCGACTGGGGTTCAAGGAGACAGAAGCAGGGATATAAAAAGCAACTTGAAAGGCGGTCTCATCCAGGAAACACACAGCCAGGCAGACGAGCTCCAAGCCAGCTCCCATGTCAGAGGATGAAGAGAGCACATCCAGTCAGTCACGGTCAGAGAGACAGGACTACACTGGAAAACAGGCTGATCTCCAGCATCTGTAAACAAGGGTGTTGATGGCAGCAGCACAGCTGATATTTCTCTCCAGGATGGAGTCACAGCCAAACAGGAACAGACGAGGCAAAGCTACTCTGAGAAAAAGCAGAGAGAGCAGAACTAACAGATTGTACAGAGTGGGAGAATAGAGATAGAATGAAGCAGAATGATGAAATAGGGTTCCCTATGTCCTCCAGCAGTCTAAGCCTAAAGCAGCATTATTATAGAGATAGCTCAGGATAACCTGAGCCACTCTAACTATAAGCTTATCAAAAAGGAAAGTTTTAAGCCTAGCCTTTAAAGTAGACAGGGTGTCTGCCTCACAGTCTAACACTGGTAGTTGGTTCCTCAGGAGAGGAGCCTGATAACTAAAAGATCTGCCTCCCATTCTACTTTTAGAAATTGTAGCACAGCCACTAGTAAACCTGCAGATTGAGAGTGAAGTGCTTTATTGGGAACGTAAGAAACAATCATATCTCTGATATAAGATGGAGCTTGGCCATTTAAGGCTTTATATGTGAGAAAGAGGATTTTAAATTCTATTCATAAATTCAGTTTCAATAGATAGATATTATTACTCTATCAACCATATAAAGGGTTTATTTTTATTATGCTCTTCTAGTTATATTGATGTCTGAAAATGATTTACAGTAAAGCCACATTCATCCAATGGGTTCCATACACCACTGCACCTAAGCAACTGTGGATGAAGTGCCTTGTCCAAGGGGCATATTGACATGTGGCAGGAGGAAACTGAAATCCATCCATAACTTTCAGATTTCAGGAAAACTATTCTCCATAATAAGCTAGTTGCCCCATATTGAAAAACTCTCAAAAGCCCATTGGAAAAATGTTCAATAAAGTAAAAATATGTGACCTTTTTGCTGCTGCTTGAACATCAGCTGTTTTAACTTAAAGCTTTGACTGTGAACAGTAAAAAAAAACAGAGGTTGTCTCTTTAGTTTCCCCTCCTCATGAGACACTGGAACAGCTGGACAGGAGGGGTTTTGCAGAGAGCTAGATTAATAATTCCAACTACATCCTGTGATGACTATGATGTTTATAAAAAAGAAAATCAAATTTTATGATGTTCAACTCGAGGGAAAGGGTAGATTTTGGGATTTTA